CTTTCTTGAAGCGCCAATGGCGCCAATCATGAAGCCGGGCAAGTAGCGCCGGGGGCGTTTCCGCTCCACGCACGTATGTTTAGACGTAGACGCTAAATTTTCTCGGAAAACAGAGTCGGAATGCAGCTTAGCCTAAGGTGCTTCTTCTTTGCCTTCCCTACATATCCGATTTCAGTTATCTGCGGCATCTAGTCATTCAGTTAAGGAGCTTTATTTATAAATTGTCCTGGGGGAGCCTGCTACCCTCTCGAGGGAGGGTCGGCTGCGGGCCGCCCCCACGTGGCGCGCCAACAGGCAAAAAAAGTGTTCCACAATTTTGCCGTAATCCCTACGGGAGGCGCTAACCTAAACTCCCACGTTTAGATACACTCATGTACCCCATAACATGTACGAGGAGATGACCGCCACTGTAACTCAGTTGGTAGTGCATCCATGGGACGACTTGTTCGAAGGTCTCAGGTGCTGTCTTTGCCGGCGGCAAGTTATAATTTTCTTCCGTTTTTCTTTCTTCGCACTTACACTACAATTGCTACTAATAGTATACCCAATTATTTCCTCGCCATCATTCTCTGTCAGTACTCAATAATACTGTGCATAAAAAAAGAAAAACGAGCCGCTAAATTTACAATTTTTCTCCCCCCACCCCCCTGGTAGCTCGCGGAACAAACTCTCGTGATTGCAATCCCTAGCTCAGGTGAGTTTGAGACTCTGGTGCAGTCTTTTCAAGCATGAATGCCAGCCTTCTAACTATACTCATGTCTAGCAAGCATGCATAGTCAACTTCTCCGTGGGTCTTTCCTAGATCGTTCGTTACGATTTATATGCGTGGGATTATGAAGAAGTCCCCCGTACACCACCCATTGGCCTAACAGAGTTGACCCTATTTGGCACTTATGCATTGTATACATGTACGCCTCACGCTACACTGGTGTCTCAACCACGTCATCTATTTCCGCCGCAGGCTTTGTCATCCCGCAGACGACCATCGCTCGGCGTTTCAAATCAGACATGGATTTCCGCAGAACTATAGTTGCTATCCTGGAGGCAACACGATTCCTTTCCACCGAGGCTACTGTCTGATAGACAATATTCTGCGATGCCAAAGCTACTCTTGAAAACCATCGCTTACGTTATGACACAAAACTCGTATTATATCATTGCAAGCTTCTTGGGATAGCAAGCTCTGAATAATGGCCATCATGTCACATTCGAGTGAATACCTGCACATTGTGGTGAAATGTGGAGTGAAGACATTGACGCTGAAGATAAAATATATTTAAATAATGCCCCACAAGTGCTCATTGTCTTTTCACGAAAGAACGCCTTGCTTATAGGTGCGTAATGCGCAACTCCACATTATAACACTGGAGAAAACCAGAACGAATGCACAGGCGAGAGCATAAACGGGACCAGGAAATGAGGTGCGGCGTGCCTCACCATCTAAAGGGAAGAAAAGATGAAGAACTAGATGGAGTAGACTGGACCTGGTAATATGTGTCCATTACTCTTGGCATTCGCTTCAATCGTTATTTGGTCACATATGTGAAAAAAAGGACTCAATTTGTTTCGTGGGCTGTTCATCTTTTGCAGCACTCTGTATGCCATACCTCTACTGTAGAGTCTCTTACAAGTTAAAAAAAAAAAAAACGGTACGTATTTTCTTGCTAATTGTGTTTCTGGCTCTCCCAATTGCAGTGAAGGCACCTCAACATCACAATGTTGTTGTTTTTTTTCAAAGATTTCTGTCAGGTTGTCGCAACTCCTTGTTGGCTGTCAGTCTGTGGCATTGTTAACGAGGAAGCTGGCGTTCAGGGGAACACACTGCCGCTGGAACTGGAAGCGGCTTATACCCTTCTCTTGCGGTCACCACGGAACTCCATTTAATTACATAGTCTTTAAACGGAGTACTTAGTCTTTAAAGTACTTTAAACTACTTTAAAGTCTTTAAAGTACACAGCCTTTAAGTGTCAACGAGCTTGCTTCACATAATATCTGGGCTTCGTCGGTTGTGAGCGAAACATCACCTTGTCCGTGACCGAAAAAACTAGAAAAGATGCAAATAAAATTAATAGTAAAGGTTTCCTGGTCCGACTGAAGATCTATCTCACGCTTTTTGCGCGTAAAACAAGTGCTCTACCACGCACGCAGCCACGGGTCTGCTTGGACATAATGAAAGTAACTTCATCCGCTTGAAAATGACTTTCATGCTTTACAAACGAATGCGTCTTGCATAGAGGTTTCACAATACATGCAATACGGCAGTAATATTGTGTTACACGAACGATCGGGTGTCCGAACATGTGTACTATAAGGAATGAATGGTTTAAGACAGCCACCTATTACAAAATGCCCGCTCGTTACTGCGGGTTTAAGACCACGTAGTGGGTGCATAGCAAGTTTGAAAAGATTTCAGGCGCATAAACTGCTGGTGGTTTAGAGCATGCTATACCCACTATACCATACACTTTCCTAATACACACTAGAGATAACTCTATGCTTGTGTCTATGGGAGCTGCAACGCATGGCGCTTCGGCGAGCATGGGAATTATGGGTAGTACACACATTTGTCTGATCTTCGTACTTCTGGCTCGCTTTTGGCTCCGCACGAGTTCGTGTGGCTTGGAGCTGTTTTCTCACAAAACGAAAACCACCAAATGTTCAGCGGTTGTGCTTCACCACTTTATTCTTTCAGACTTGCCTTTCCAAATCGGGTCGCGAAGTTCAAAAGGGTTGAATATTTCTTGCAAAGCAAAACCGAAACACAGCAATAAACGAAGCCGCAAGTACAATTCGCCACCCGCAAGTGCGAAGACTAGGCAAATGTGTGTACTATACCCATCACTCCCATGGTCGCTGAACGATCGCAGCGACCGAGTCCCCTGTGGTTAATTTTAAGAAACTATGCATTACACAGAGCGCAGCCATATGCGAAAGCTTCACTGACAGAGGCTATCGTTAACCATCGATTTAGTTGTAGTAATTGAAAATTTGGACTTCCCGATTAACATCATATAAAGTTTATGCACGAATGATATCAACCATCGGCAGAATCGGAGCACTTCCGGTAATACTTTCTTTGGCTCCATGCAGAGCAAGTCCATCCATTGGTGGATTGAGAGTGCTCCCTGTATGTTCCACTGGCAGATCTGGAGCAGCTCCGTCGCGAGGTGCACTCCGTGCAGCAACGTTTTCTACGCCGCGAAAAGTACAACATTCATCCGGAAGCCGCAAGTGCCCCGCCCCGTTCCTTGCTGAAAAGGAAGGAACTGCGGGCGCACCGACGGGCGCCAGTCGCGTCGGTCGGACTCGCGTTTCGCAAGCATAGCGTTGCTGTGCCAAGCGTGCACATTCATGCAAGAAAGGAACAAGCGCACCACGTCATTACAATAAATAAATAGACCCTGCGATTTGCGCCAGCGTGAGCACGTGCGCTCTATTGGTGGATTCTCTTTGTTTACTCTTTGCCAGAGTGGAGTGCTCCGGCGCAGAATTAGTGGACCACATCGAATATGCATATAGATGACACCATAAGTGATTTAAGTACGCACTAGCGACAGAATATTGTTACCGCGTTCAAATCTCAAAGGCGAAGTTTGAGGATCCCACAAATTTTTTTCGTTTTGAGTATCTGAAAGCGACAGTTGAAAACAACGACGTACCTGTCCATGCTCCACATTGAACCGGCCGCGCGTCAACCGCCTATTGAAAAGACTAACGCACGTTGTAAGAACTGTTCGAAATCGACGGAATATTCTTTCAGTTATTTTCAGTTATGCTGGTCAAACATGCTACATACATTAGGCCCTTCCAGCGCTTCGAGGGACATGATTCCATGACGTAGTTAGAAGTTTAACTCAACCTTAAACCGAGTTGCGGCGAGTGATACCGCGAGAACTTTATGGCAGGCTTCCTTTGACTCAACTTGTCGCACGGATTCAGGCTAAAACTTCAACGCCATGCCCAGTTGCACAGGCTGGGCAACTTCGTTCACAAGACAAACGTGTAGGTCGATATATAACGCCGGAGTATTTGCGTCATGGCCTCAAGCTCCTCCGGTTGATAGAGCTCTTGATAACTCCGTACAATCATCCTTCCGGTAATATCTCCGCGACATAATCTATGCAACGCACACTTAATGTCGTTGGAACCTCCACAACTGCCGCTTCTATTCGTTGCCAAAGGGATATCGCCTAGATATTGCATCAAGTGCAGTGAATGCCCTTTCGTTACAGCGCCTTTTTATGCTGCTTATACTCTCTTCAAGGCGAAGGCAAGGTCGAGATTCTTATCGTTCCCGCAGCAAAAGTATATCGCGTAACTCGAAGTGCCAAAAGTGTGCCTACCCAATATAGAACGTCCTCGTAAGGACAGACCTTGACTCAGTTTTGCCTTAAGATAACACTTAAGATCCTGCAGTAATAACCAGCCTCGTTGGCGTGGCAAGATTTATACACAGATACTTCGCAGTGCTGCGCTGTCACTTCTAGTAAGTGGTTCCCAGAAAACAAAAAAGTCTGGTGTTTCACGTGCACAAACTCTTATAAAGATTTACAGAGTAGTGAGGGACTCCTAACAGTCGTCAACTATATACACCAGAAGTAACTTGTACCTCAGAAAAGTTCATGGACGTTTCTGCATCGCTGTCCCGTCCAATTGTAGCCGCCCATGGCGGAAGTAGAGGCAACGCTTAGGCTCCGAGCTACAGCGGGGGTCCATACTTTGTATTAAATTGTTACATAAACTTTGCTCTTGTGGAATGCTCACTGTTCACGAAAAATGAACTGAAGGTGCAATGAGTTAAAAAGTAAATTCTAAAGACCGTTAAAAACAGCACAAAGACAGCCGTCGTATTTAGTTTGAGAACTACTCTTAAAATATATTCCACGCTATTGACTGATATACGCCTAAAACATTCATTAGTAACCTGTTTTGTTTCATTTCAACGTAATCTTTGCGCACATAACGTCAAAGGTATGTGCCGATGAAACGGACAGAAGAAATAGTAATCGTCATTTGCTTTTATGAAACACAGAATTGTACAATCTTATAAAGTATATTGCTGTAAAAAACAAATATATAACACTTTAAATTTCTTGCGCAGAAAACAGTTGCCCGTGTTTTCATTAAGTGTGAACAAACTGTGTATAAAATGTACAGATTTGTAAAAGTAAACTGTCGCCAACGACGCAGCAATAAACGTTTCAATATAACGACGGCGCAAGTCATGCGCAGGGAACACTTCGAATTGTGTTCTTCATTATCACCAATTCATTTTGTTCACTCTCGAGGTCTAGCAATACGTGCCAGCATACTTCTTAGAGTCACGACTCATGCGTGGCGTTTCTTATCGGGCTGTGGATTTCCCGACCTTGTGTGTGTCTTCCAAGCGTTTCGTCAATAGAGGCAACGTTGAAGCTGGCTCCAAAACTGTAGCACCACTGGCTAGGGGTCCTCGCTTGTACTGCATTGTAATGTGAACTTGTACACTCAATAGCTTCATGTCACAATTTTCACAAGGTGCGATAACCATGACAACACCACCGACGTAAGCATCTAAAGAACCGCCGTTACGTCACATCCTACCACACAATACTTCGGTTCACCAATCCCAGCGCACGGTGTATACACGCAAAATGCACGAGCCACCAAACATACGCAACGCGCACGGATCGCACTCTCAGCACATCAACGAACGACAGGACCGTCATCATCCTAGAAACGTCGCACAGATCCGATGTACAGAATCACGTCCGGATCACAGCTGCGGATGAGGAACATGAACGGCCGATTCACGTTGTAGTTGAAGCTGACGCCCGCGTAGCACATCATGATGAGTGGTGTCAGGAACAGGCCCTCGACGCCATCTTCGTCCACTTCGACGACCGCCTTGTGCTCGACGCCGGTAACCCTGAGTCCGGGGGTCTTGCTTATCCCTCCGAGGTCTGCGCGGTCTGTGAAGAGGTCCTGAATGCCCAGCGCCTCCAGGGTTCCTCGGAGGCTGGTGCTGTGCTCGAGCTTGAACTTGGGCAGGTAGATCTCGACGTCGTGGTCCTCGCCCAGCGACTTGAGCAGGTTTCCAGCAGCGCCGGGGTCAGCTTCTTCTCGAGGCGGTCGAGACCGTCGATCTTTTGCGGCCGCAGAAGGACCAAGGAGAGCTTCTTGCCCACGAACGGCATCTCGAGGGCGTCAACCTCGAGCTTGTCGCAGCAGCTAGTCTTGTAGTTCTTTCGCTGGTACATCATCTCGACCATGGTGGTCTTCTCCTTCGTCTCGTGGAACGGGCGCAGCGCCGTGTACTGCGGGTTGAAGTGCGAGTCCCAGAAGCCCGTGAAGTACATAGCATTGACGAGAAGCAGCGAGGTGCGAGAGTCGACCTTCCCGGACTGGAGGATGTCGGTGACCTTGCACTTGGTCTTCTCCTCGACCCAGGAGTTGATGTCTCCGCAGGCGCCCTTGGGGTCACTCCGGAAGTCGACTTGCTTGACGGCGCCGTCGTAAGCGGTCTCCATGAGGTCGCAGTAATCGTTCGGCACGTCGTAGCTGCTGTCGGCGAATATGGCGTTGGCCAGGTGGATGCGAAAGTCCGGCCCGCAGTCGGCCAGCCGCAGCGTCATGTCCGTGAACTCTTGGCGCACCTGGATCGGAAACAGTGGCAGTATCAAGTTTTCGCATAAACGATCGTTACTCCATGCACGAGGAGGAAGTTTGCCAGGTAGGCCATTTTTCAGTGAAGGGCGTGACTTTCGTTCAAGAAGCGGACCAAAAGTAAATTAAAACAATTAACACAGGCTCTTAGTAGGAGAGTGTTCATGAGCACGACAAATTCATAAAATTTGCGAAACAACAAGGTAAGGTCAAAGAAAAAAACTTTACAGTACAGTTGAATAAACATGTATACACCAGCGCATAAGCATAAGTAAAAGCTTCCGGTAGAACTGGCTAACCTCCCTGTACTTCCGCTTATTTTTTCCTCCTCCTCCACCTGTGCGTTTCTTTATGAGAGCCATACGAGCGGGTTTCTCTAAAGCTCGAATACTTTCTGTTGTTTCTGGCTAAAATATATTATCCGAGCACGAATAGGATATTTCACAAAACTTTCGAAACGCGCAAGGTTTTTTTTTATGCGACACAAACCTATCTGTAAGCTGATATTCCACTACCATAAACACACTGAAATTTTTGATATCACAATAAAATAGCCAACGCAATGGGATGCAGCTGCCCTGAGTACTCGTTTTGGTAGAACAGCGATGAAGGAAAACAGAGGTTATACTTAATCGCAAGTTTTCGGCGGGCATATTTGGTCGTAGAGTTAGACTGACAGTACAACAGGGAACTACAGGGTAAATGTTGAGACGATGTCGACTACAGCGATGGATTATTCCATGCATGATAAACATTGACACGGAGTATGCATATATCACACACCTCTTCGATGAGCTCTTCGGGCAGGTGGAGGGCCTTGGCTATTTGCGCCGCAGTGGCCTTCCCGCTTCCGGCGTGCGTGGCTGCAAGCGCCAGCGCGATGGCGAACGGTGCGCTGAGCACGTTGTCCCGGTAGAGGGCGTCCTGCTCGGCCAGCTGCTGCTTGTGCAGCTCCACCGAGAAGTTGAGGAGGATCTCACGCAGCCTGTTGGGCGGCGCGGGAGCCCTCCAGAAGAGGTACCGCAGGAATCTGCGAAAGACAAAAGACGAGCAAATATTGAAACAGTGCGGTTAGTATTTCCTACGCGGACCTTTCAGGGAGAGCTGCACGGGCTTTGCCATACTGCCCTCCCCCAACACACACACCCTTGCACAGTCCAAAGAGGGGCTTCTCTCCCTAGAAAAGACTTAGAAGTGTGGCAGCTTGGGCTAGTTGGTATGACATGACGATAGTTATAGCGCGAGAACTGAATGGCGACACAGATACAAGAACACGAAGGACAAGAGCGTTGGAAGTTAGCGTGTGTCTGTGTCGTCGTTCTGTTCTCGCGCTATAACTATCGCCAAGGGAGACGTCTAGTTAGGCAGCCAAGTCTTGTTGGCGGTCCACTCCTGTTATTACGTCATTCTTGTGCGTGCAGTCTACAGGAGGCCGAGGTTAAGGAAGTGCAAGGATTACCCAAGATATTTGAACGGATACGAGAGGTCGGTATTTTACGCAACTGCCAGTGTTATTCACGGTAGGAGGCGAGGCTGAAGAGCACAATTACGGGGACTTTTATTCAGTGGCATTCACCCTATTCTTTATTCATGTCCACTTAATCGTTACGTCGCCTTGAATGAAATTCAACTAGTCCAAATGAATGTTTCTGCACTGTGCGCGCGCTACAGATTCGGAACAGCGGTGTAGACCTGTACGCACTTGACACCCTATATTTGCAAGTTTTGCATACCGTCTGGCCTGAATGGACGCTATAGGGAATATCTGGCGACTCCTCGAGTTAACGCCCCAAATACTGAACACTGTTTAAAAATGAAATGTTAAGATCACCGCTGTGGCTTGTGGTCGAAAATGTGAAAAAACGTGACAAGCGTGCTTTATCTGAACTTGCTAGCTACCTGTAACATAAAGGGAAGCCCGAATTTGTAAACTGGATATTTATTTTTATTTACATACCCTAAGGACCCGGGAGGGCATTACATGGGGGGGGGGGGGGGATTAGGAAGATTTTCAACTTGTGTACAAAATATTAAGTGTTCAGAGGCATGATTATATAAAGCTTAATTGAAAAAAAACAACACACAACAGCAGTGACAAAGAAAAAAGCATGAAAGATTTAACACTACTCTCTTGAATTTAGACGCGTTCTTCACCTGTGGACTATCGCACCTGTGCATTATGTAACGAGGGCATCTTTTAACTTCCTCACAAACACTGGCAACATTGAAGGGCACAGTGTATGAGTACTGTGCAGTGCGTTCATATATGTTCTGTGGTAGTGCTTTTCTGTGCGAAATGTTATGTTTCGTCATGCCTATCTAAAGTGGCACCAATCGGGCTGCCAGGTGAACTACCGACTGATTGGCCACTCTCGTTACATTAAGTAGTGTAAAGTGTCAGCGAGAACTGTAGACAACAGCTATAGTGTCGTTTTTCTCGAAATTGTGGACGCGACATTGCAAGCTTTAGTATGATTTCCCCGGACTGTTCTGTACGCAGTGTGGGGAGTGAGCGTTGCTTGGTCGACATCTCCGAGAGCGATCAACTGCTTACGTAGTATAGATTGCCCAGTTGGCGAGACGCCCGGCGTCCCTGTTCTATATAGGCAAAATGCCACAAGCCAACTGGAGGATGAACCGATATGGTACTTTTAGCTCTAAAAACCAAACTGGAACAGGCTGCGGAAAGATGCGTTATTTAGGTCTACCCAAAGGACGGTCAGTAAACTTTACTTGGGTTTCGACGTCTCGAAACCTGACCTAATGCGGGCAGACTAGTGTAATAAATTTGGCGACTTCTTTAAGCGTAGTGAAGCTTGAATTTCGCATAAAATAAGATAACGAAAGGTGAAAAACGTGGTATTAATGAAAAGTGAAGGATATGCGCTTGTCTTGTCTTGAACTAACTTCACACATTTTAAGCGCATCTCTCGATCTTCAAGCCGAAAGTGTGACGTCAGGGTTTCCTGTTGATTGCTAGACGTTGTCACTAGTGTGAGAAAGGAAGAAGCTGGCCAGCATTGAACCAGTGTTTTTTTTTCAGGCATCGTGTCGCATGCAGCCCCAACTGGAACGGCACCACGCGTACATATAGATAAGCGGTTATACCGAGCTATACCAAGCTGACCGAGTTTCTCTGTACCGAGCTGACAGAGTTTCTTGTGCCAGCAAGGGTAATCCGAAGCGTAATCGCAATGACCCGCGGTGAACACATCCCACGGCCACGCAAATTGAAGGGACGTAAAGCGCTGTTGCGTCAGACGTTAACAAAGCCTCGCCTCAAGTAAGAACCGTTAGGCCACAGCAACATGCGAGAAATCACGGGAGTAGCCGTCATACAATCATCTACTGCACGACCTTCGTATGTGACAAATCCGCGAGGTCATCAGAGGAAGAGATGCGGAGTTGATACGCTACGGCCGATCTGATAATACCGTTACGAGGACGTTATCCTTACCGCAGTAAAATAAAATAAAAGCACATATTATATATATATATATTAACGAGAAGGCCACGCGATCGTATACCCCGAACCGCAGGGCTGCCGCATCTCGATTTACACCATATGGTGTCAAGAGTTTTTGACTTCTTTACTATGAATTCCCTCGACCATATCGTTTTGGTCCGTGAAGTCCCTGACCGTTATTTAGGAGCCAGCAAATTGTTCTCACAGAATGCTGCAGCACTTCCAGTATATGACGCAAGAATGGAGACCCTTTTTAGGCCTACTTTGCGGCACCTGCCTTCATCACCGCTTGTTACGTATGCAAGGTTCATTGGAGCTTACTTCCAGATCCTTTTTCTGTATAGCGATATTTCTTAGAAAAAAAAAAGAGCTCTAATGCAACCAGAGTGCGTTAAGGTCACCAGGCAGACTTCATTGGCCAGCGGCCAAGTGTGTCGCTTGGCAACTATACCCGCACGTCCGTGCAGTGGATGTGCAGACCTCTAAATATGACACACTTGGCGCTACGCAGATTTGGCTGCGTCTGTGGCTCTGGCTATATCAGCAGACAGTTTCACTCAAATGATTTAAAACCCACAACGCGCGCACGTACACATACAAAGACACCGAATGCGAGCGAATGCTTTCGGGCTTATGTGGTTTGGTGTGCCCTTTATGTAACCATGAACGCACATGGGACCACAGTCTACTCACTTGGGGTATCTGTTTCAGTGAAAATTATTTTGTGACATTGTGACACTACTCAGCAAAGCACGCATTATAGAATCAATCAAGCGCGTGACACGACTCGCAATATTACTAAGTCTGTAATCAGACTCATTACAAAAGTCCAGATCTGGTAGCAAAAAAATAATAAAAAGTTCAGCGTGGCTCTACTTCAACGCACTCGCCCCGAGCTCATAATTCGATTTTTATTTCAAAAGTACTAGCCTTAGACATAGTACTACGCGTTAATAAATACACGTAATAATTTGCTTCATGTATAGAATCTAACGTTGAGCGCTGAAATGGTTCGTGAATCCAGCGATCAAGGTCGGGTAGTCTTGATTGCACGCTCGGCTAGTTCAACGCCGAATGCAAGATACCTATGCGTCGAGGCTGTAAACAAATGAAAAAACAAGGGCAAGGCACTCGCTCATATTTAACAAAGTCGTTGCCATTATTGTCAAAAGCATGCACACGCAGTATCGAGAAGCCGATCTTCCGGGAATTGTTTACCTCGCAAGGCACAGACCATACCTGCTGATTGCGTCGGACACTGAACGGTACGTTAGAGAAATCGAGACTAAAGGCAAGGCACTGCTTTATCGCCTACCATATGTGTGCACGGGTGTTTCTCGTCTGCTCTTTGATCGAAACACGTAGCCATGGAAATCTATCCCACGTCCTCGTGCTTAGAACATCGCACTAAGCCACCGCGCGGGCGCATTGCTTCATATCCACATGTAAAAGCTACTTGGAATATATTCTGCGTATTGAAAGGCGTACAGAGATTGCCTATAATGCTCCAAACTTTCTCCCCCATTTTCGCATGAGTAGAACGATTCCTAGACATTCGTGATTTGCTTCAATTGAAAAAGAAAAATTGTCTAGTTTTTTTCTTTATGCTTAGGCATTTTCTTCGGCAGTCCCCGCTTAAAAGAACCGTGTCGAGAAGATTCCAGTTATAACTTAACACACTAGGTATTAACCTTATTCTAGAGCAGTTAACGGCAGGGTATCGAAAAGTTACGGCCGAAGAAAAGTTGTAACCGCTGCAGTTACTATGACTATTTGGTTGTGGTTGGTAACCCCGGTCTCACGTATGCAGTAAACACCAATGGCGTAGTCATGGAGTGGCACACTATGCCCGTGCCCCCCCTCCCCCGCCCCAAACTTTTTATTTGCCGCCGCTCCAGCAGGTGCCCCTCTCCGAAAAATAATTGTCTGTGCCCCCGGAAGACAGGGAGCAAAAAGTAACGGTTGCAGCTACTAACTGTTTGCTAATGTATGTGAAAAACGAGTAGCAAAAGGTTAGTGTTTGCAGTTTTTTTTTGGTGTGTTTAGTATGTGCAAGTTGTGCGCCCCCCAATAAAATAATTTTCTCTGAACGTGGGTGAAGAAGGATACTCATCGCAATGACGAAATCATCCTGCATCGCGAACAGGCTGCGCTTACGTTATTTTCTCAATTAAGATTCCTGAAAGAAAAAAAAAAACCTTCGTTTGGCAGCTTCCACGTAGCGTTACTTTGACGTTCGTTCATTTTCCGCGTAAACGCCGTACATACGTTTACGATTTCACAGCTAATATCCTCGAGCCCAAAGATAACTTAAGCCGTAACGACCTGTTGGCTGAATAGGGTCGAAATTACAGCATCCCTTCTGTTTTTGTTCAAAAATGAGCCTGAGTAGACACACACTCCAACATGACAAAAACGACACGCGGATCATGCGAGTCTTTAGTGAAACTTTACAATATCCTCCTAAGTACCGGCGTCTGCCGTCATTGCAGTGTATACAGAGGTTTTAATCATCGCATCCTGTAGCTCACTAGCTTCATCTTTGAGAAACTGCCCGCCCGGTT